AGCCTATTGAGGATGCATGCTCCAAAAGTTAAAAGAAGGAGAAGAATTACTGGGGGATCTATTAGGGTAGATACTAAGGTAGTTAACCAGGGGTTTTTATTAAACCATTTTTTAAACTATCTTTGTGTGGATTTACGTTCTTTTTGTCTTTTATCTAATCTCTGGCGGAGCTTGGACACGGAATCTTTAATAACTCCAGAGTTATCAGCACAAAAACAACATTCTTCACCTAAAGCTGCACAGAGTCCTCCTTCCTTGAGGAAAAGCAAATCCAGCCCCCTCCTATTCTGTAATACTACTTCTTCTGAGAGGGAGGTTAAGGATTTTAAGAGAGTAATTGATTGTTCTATTGCCTTAATGTCTTCATCTATAGCCATCTGTAAATCTGCATAATATTGTGGTCCTTGTATTAGGGCCGCTGTTCCAGTTCCTATCCCCGCTGCCACTCCTGCTCCTAGAAGTATTGCTAGGTTAGGGACACAGGCTCTCATTATATCTGCCTGGATGTCGCTCAAAAAACTGTTCTAAGGAATCTGCAGGATGATAGAATACTCGGGGTAGAAGTTTAACCATAACACAGTAGTCTTGAGAGGTGTTAGGACCATACTAGCTACACATGGAGTTAACCCGGAATTACATGCCCACCAAGTTCCTTGGTGGGGTAGGAGATAGTAATTTCCTTCCCCTGAGGGTACAGGTATAGTGGAGTTGCAAAGGTGAGTGTGAGTTGAGGGTGGGTTTCCTAGACAGAGTCCAGATCCTGAGATTTCTGTAAGAGTTAGGGAGTTAGGAGTTAGGAGTCAGGAGTTTCTCTATGGCATTGATTAGTTGAGGTGGTGTTGTTGAATGTTCCTAATGTAGCTATGCCTTCATAATAGAGAGGTGCTGCTGCCAGACACAGTCAACAAGATTCAGTCAAGTTGGGGTTTGTCTGTCTGATGGCCTTATATGCTCCCTGAACTAGATTGAACAGTCGGTTTCCCGTGGTTGAAACCTGTAACCTTGGGTAATGGGGAGTCTGTTCTGACAGGATGTTAGCTGGGAGGTGTTAGGAAAAGAGTTGGGGAGGTGCTGTGAGGTAGCTTCAGGTATTAGCAGCGGGGGATTTGGGTAGCTGGGGATGGGTTTCTGGATAGGCAAGACGGGGTTGGGACCTATAGCTGTTGGGTAGGAGGAAGTATCCCTTCTGATAGTAAAAAGGAGGCCATCATCTGCTCGTTCTTTATATAGCCTAATTCCCCAAGAATATCCCTTATCCCAATCTGTAGCTTTTTTACCTGCTGTTGTGAACTCCACCCGGAGGGGATTGCACCATTTACCTTGACAGACCTGTTTATGAGTAGTTTTCCATTCGTCAAAGTTTTCCTGCAAACGACTGTTCCCATGAGAATAATTTGCTTTTATAGTGATGTAATCCCATGATGATGTTGGGACCACCAAGTGTCCCCGGTTGTTTCACATCCCCAGTTTTTGCAGTAAAAGTAGGCCCTCCCTCCACACTGGGGGTTAAGATATTTAGCCCTGTGATTGCCTGGACAAACATAAAAGGTTAATGTACGCAACATGGCCCGGTGTTCATGAGGGCCACATCCTCCCCACGGGTCAAGTCCCAGTCTCCCAGGGGGACTTTCCTTGTCAGGTACCACCTCAGTATTCCAGTTTCCTTCTAAGTCCCAGGGCTCTGGTGCTCCTAAGGCTAATTTACACAAATCTGGATACAGTATAGGCCACCATGTGCCCTTTGGTGCCATCTTGTGGGTTTCAAACACTACAATACCCATTTGGTTAATTACCCACCAGGTAGCATGGGGAGATGGGGACTTCCTTGACTGGGGACAAGCCTAAAAACAAGTAGAATCATTAGGTATCTCTGGAGAGTCTTATTTTTAGAGGATTGGATGTCTTGTGGAGATGCCATTTTCCCACGTCGTCCTGGGCCAGAGCTCTCTTGGCGTGAGAAACGTGAATCCAAGCTGAGATCCCGTCTCCTTTAAGGGCTGTGGGTGTAGTCAGGAGAAC